TGCAACACGCCACAAGACATACAGGCCATTTAGTCCAGACTGTCACCCGTAGGGTTCAGAGAGGCAAAGCCAGGGAGCGAAGCCTAGAACCTGCAACACGCCACAAGACATACAGGCCATTTAGTCCAGACTGTCACCCGTAGGGTTCAGAGAGGCAAAGCTAGGGAGCGAAGCCTAGAACCTGCAACACGCCACACTACATACAGGCCATTTAGCCCAGACGGATCTCACCAGCGGATTTGCCGATTTATCTGTTGCTAGGAAACAGCATTGCTAATGGGGTCTAGAGGTGTCCTGGTGGTTTTCAATGCTTGAACTGGATGGAGATTCAGCACGCGGTGAGGTGACTGACGTCAGAATGTCCGCAGACACAGGTGACACTTAGAGAGGGGGATTTTAGTGAGGAAGGGGCAGCCAAGGATCCTGCAAAGGAGAGCTATAGACAGGCTGACGCTGTTCCTGTCGGCTAGGGATAATTCTCACTGCACATGCAGAAAGGAGGAACTGTCTATGAGAACCGGTTACACTCTGTGCACCAACATCGAGTAACACAGCTTCCGATGTGGGACATGTCCCAGAGAAGCCCACTGGTTAGATTGTGCCTTGTCACCATCTCACGCAGCATTCCTGCGCTCCGCAGCCTTGTCACCATCTTATGCAGAATTCCTGCGCTCCGCAGACTTGCCCGATCGCTGGACTTTTGCTGCTTAACAACTGGAGACGCTTATTTGGTGGAAAAAAAAGGAGCAAAGGAGAAAATGTTCCGGTGGGTTAAACGTGAGCCATCGCAATCACAACCAGCTTACTGGGGGTCAGGAAGACAGATCTCACAAAAAAAACAGCTGAAATCCTCCCATCCAGCACAGATGGCTGAGATATGCAAAGTATCTGCATTTGCAGACGTCCATCCATCCGTCCGTCCTTCCATCCATCCATCCATCCTCTAACTGTTTATCCTGCACAGGGCGGCGGGGGCACGCCCTGCTCAGGGCGGCGGGGGCACGCCCTGCACAGGGCGGCGGGGGCACGCCCTGCTCAGGGTGGCGGGGGCACGCCCTGCTCAGGGCGGCGGGGGCACGCGCTGCTCAGGGCGGCGGGGGCACGCTCTGCTCTGGATGTCAGCACTTTACAGATGTACCACAATATCCACACATTGTCTTCCTTCTCTTTTCCTAATTTTTTTTATCATTCTTTGTTATGCTTTCAAATGTTTCAATCAATAGAAGTGATTTTAAAGCTTTTCTCACATGAAAAATTATAGAAAACGAGGAGAAGTTGTTGCTTACAAATACAGCTTAGGTTTGCTTTATACAGCTTAGGTTTGCTTTATACAGCTTTTCTTCAGTCATGCAAGTCATGAATACTTACGCAAGTTAAAAATCAGATTCCATCGTATGAGCATCGACATGCCTATCTAGTCGCTATTTTCCTGTTATTTCCAAAGAATGGAGTGTTTTCATCGTGCACTCTCAGGGACACGCACCTGCTCTCGCGTTTCTGCTCTGGTCGAACTCCATGCATGACCAGGAGGCCCCAGAGAGGCGCTTTATCTTCATTACAGCTGCCCACTCCCCCCCCGCGCGCGCGCGCGCGCACTGCAGACAGCAACACCGTGGAAACCGGCCGCACATCTCCTCCACATTCCGCTGCAGAGAGCGCCGCTCAGGACATCAAATGATTCTCCAAGGACCCGCCTGGCAGTCGTAGGCGCCCAGCAAACTGCCCGTTTCAGCAGCTCTGTGGGGGGGTTAGGGTCTGAGTAATGTTACGCTACAGTGGCTGTTTTCACCAGGGATATGAATAAATAAGGCGGGGGAGGGGGGATGGGAGCTTTTAAACTTCACAGGATACAGGATCACTCTCAGGCTGGGGG